ATTTCTTATAACGATCATACCACTAGCTATTACTTGTGTGTTTAAACCTAAAATTGTCTATTTTAGGACCATTGTATAGGTCTCAAATTTTTGAGCTTATTGTACTCCCAATTGACTAAAGTGTTTAGACACGTTTTCACTTTTTCGCTAAACAAACTTATAAGAAAATATTTGTTTATTTATCTATATTTTTATTTTATTTATTTTTAAAATGAGACACTTTAGAAATATAACGAAACTATAAAACCATGTACTTAGGTCTGAAAAGGCTAGAAAATATTATTCGTGGCAAAAATCCAAATAGATAATTAATTGAGACAAAATTAGGGGTTTAAAAATAATAATTTTATGAGTCCTCGCGTGAATTGAGTATTAGTTCCTCAATTAACCTTTCTTAATCTATTATTGATCATTCTTAATTCTCTAATATTAATACACTCCCGATTCAAGTATAGCCTAGAAAACGTGCACTCGTCGTTCCGGACTAAACAAATTTTCGAAAAGCGAATTTTCCATCAAAACGCTTTAAAAATATAAAGAGGCGTCGTTCCATATAAATGGATTTAAAATGGTCGAAATAAATAATTCGGAGAAAATGAGTGAATAATCATTTAAATATTCCAGTAATATTCTATAAAAATAAGAAAATTTTCGGGTTCTCACATATTTGCCGTATTCTTCCTAGTGTAATTTGCTGGCAGATTTGGAAGGCAAGGAACAAAGCAATGTTTGAGGGTGTCCAGATGCAATCATCGGCCATTCGCCAAGCCATCTTCTCAGAAATCCAATCCATGGTAGGAATACATTTTAAACATCTGATAAGACTACAATCCTTTTGTCAATTGTATGATTGGTCAAAGGCACTTGGGGGTACGGTTGTATATCAAGGTATCCGCTGGGAAACCAAAGAGACAGGGAGATATACTCTTAACACGGGTGGATGTGCTAAGGGTAATCCAGGAATAGGTGGAGGTGGGGACATACTCCGGGATTCCACTGGATTACCAATGATTGGTTTTTCGGCATATCTGGGAGAAACTACATGTCTCCGTGCAGAGGCTTGTGCCCTTCTTATTGGTCTTCAGATCTGTATACATAACGGTTTTGGAAACATATGTGTACAATCAGATTCATTGGTTTTAATTGGGATCATTCAACGTTGTACTCAGTGTCCGTGGAAAATTCGAAGATACGTCAACCAGATTTGGCAGTTATTAGATGATCCACCTAGATTCACGCACTGCTATCGGGAGGCTAACACAGTTGCTGATGCTTTATTTAATGTGGGTATATCTCATCCAGATAAACAAATTGAGGTTTATGATACCTTCAGTACATTCCCAAGGTTGGCTCGTGGGGCAATCCGTTTGGATAGAATAGGGGTACCTTCAATTAGAAAAATGAGGATTATGTAAGAGGAATATTTGGTTATATTTTCCATGAATAAATAAAAAGAATTTCTTAAAAAAAAGTATTTTTTTTATCCAAAAATTACCCTTAAAAGCTTATATCTTATGTAGGCAAAAGTCTTGTCTTCTTCTTATATTTGGGGGTATTTATAGATAATGAAATTATGCCCCAAAAGTTCCTCCAATGGTTAAAAAACTAGTTGTTAGAAAATTAGCCGTTGGACCTACCAGAGTCCGAACCAATCCTGTTAGACATTCCATACTCTGTAGAACGCCCGATCCAATTGTTCTGCATCCGATAGAGAACAGAATGTTCAAGTTTCAACTTTTTGTACCGGACGGCCAATAGAAGGAATGAGTGTTTGATCGAAATGTCCTATGAATACTCGCTGTTTGTCAAATGTCCGATACGTCACTGAGTGTCCGATCCTTGCGCCCAATAGGCAAATTTCCTTTTTAATGTTTCTTGATATGCTATCCTCCTTTTTCTATTTTTCAAAGTACCTATCCCTAATCATTTTTCAAATAAAAACATTAGTCCAGATCATCATTTTATTTCATTATTATCAAAATCAAAGATGGATCAACCTAAGTTTTCAGTACCGTTAGTCGTGATTATCTAAAGGTGTTGTTTCATCAATAGTCATTGTAATCTAACACTAGTTCATGGAAGTGTTAAACCAAGGGAGTTAACTCACTAATGTAAAGTTACACCTTTGTGGCTTTCGTAGCTTGTTCCATGTAATTTTAAAGAATTTAATGAATTTATAACCAATTTTATATGAAGTTAGTAGTTGTGAAGTAGTTCTAGGTATGGTTGGTATATCCTCGGAAGCATGTATTAAGTATATTTGGAAATTATGCCATAACTATCCAAGATAATGAACTCATTTAACCGTTTATTTCATTTGTATGAGTAGATAGGAATTCCATAACTCTAGACACATTTTCTTGTTAATTTTACTAATTTTATTGATGTTTTGTAATGTAGATTTACTTGTTTTATTTGTGATCGTCTAAATAATAGAGGAATTTGAAAATCACTAGAAGTTGATAATCTTCCCTGTGAGATCGGTCCTAATTATCACTATGCTCATTTGACCCATATATTTGTAGAAAATCGAGATAATTGGGCTTAATTGATTTGACAATTAGGAATTTATAACTTGAAAACCTAAACCATGCACATTTCCTTCGACTTTTCTCCTCTAACTCAAAATCAACATGACAACTAAAATCACAATTATGTTCACCAAAAATTTCTTCCTCTTCTGCATTTTTTCCTTTCAATCCTATTCAACTTTTTTAGTAAACCAAGTATGAGAACTCTTTTTCTTGAGCAAATTGGCTTATCCACCCACTTAAAACACTTGCACCTGTATGACCTCTATCAAAAGAAAACAACGATATTTTCTAAAATTTTTGTCAGTTAAAGTCATAGTTTTACTGCTATGTTCATATCACAAAGATTTCTTACTGATCATAGAGGACAACCAACGAATTGTCTTCCAGGATTGTCGCCACGTCAAGAAGTTGTTAAATTCGTTCTTAGTCCATTATCATAAAAGGGTGTTGACAACATTGAAGTTTTAAAACTTCTACTACTCATTTTCGAAGTCCAAGTTCTCTACCACGTCCTTTATTCTCGACCTTGTTGCCAGCAAATTGAAACTTGATGCAGCTACGAATTGGTTGCCGCAGAATTTGTGCTCACGAAGAGAAGAAATGAGGAGGAAATGAGGGATTTCACCCCACTTTTGTTTAGTTAAGCGCCTTAACGGGATATGCATCTCATGCGACCTATTTCCGTCGAAAATGTTTTGAGTTTTGACAATTGTCCTTAATCAATCGAAATTAACTTTGAGGATGCAACGTGTCTGGGGTGAAACTTTCAAAATAAAATTGGTTACTAGGCCAAATTTTGAGGATGAAAAGTGCATTTTCCCCCTTGCACGTATCCTTATTGAGGTTAATCTAATATATGACAGTAGAAGAAGAAAAGACGCACTTCAAGAAAGAATCTGCATTGCAGAAACAAAACTTGTTTCTTGATTTCTAATTTAAGCATGTTAAATTAGACAAAAATGGAAGAATTTAGCTTCAGACCTGATCTTTTGCACAATAAGGTTACGATATCACTGACTCAGTTGCAATGTGAATGACTTAATAACTGATATATTACATACCTTACTTGACAACAATGCAACAAGGATAAAGAAATCAAAGACAACTTTATTAAGAGTTCCTCCAAATTGCCTTTTTATCAAATGGATCAGAATGTCGTTAATATCCTGCTTGCTCCATTTAGTATGCATTCAAGATTTTTGTGAATGTAACGCCATAAGGCAGGCAAAGCCTGTTTTTGAATCATCATTCCTTTTGGTCAAAGGGAACAATAGAATGGCTGTAGCACAATTACTTGAGCACGAAAAATTGACCAACGACAACAATAGGGAAACAATAGAACTTTTCACAATCCAATGGAGACAATAATTAAACAGAAATAAACAAATAGGGAAACACCAAATTTATTCGCAACGGATCTTCTGTCCCACACTCTGTGCCACTTTCTGTTCCACTTTTTATTATATTACTATTTCTCCTTCATAAACATCATGTTTTAATTCCTTTTGCTTCCTTAAGATCCAATAACTATTAATTAAGTAAAAAATAAATACAACAGCTTCAAAAAAGTAATATATAATAAAAAATTAAAAAATATAGCAGAAAATTCATAAAAAATCTAATTTTTTATGCATTTTGATTTTTTGAGTTTGTTAAATTTTGTGTATTACTCAATTAATAGTTATTGGATCTTAAGGAAGCAAAAAGGAATTAGAACATGATGTTTATGAAGGAGAAATAGCAATTTAATAAAAAGTGGGACAGAGAGTGGCACAGGGTGTGGGACAGAAGATCCGTTGCGAAATTTAAGTGGTAAAAACAAGAGAGCCTAAAATAACGCGAAAGGTTTAACAGCACAAATATCCAAACAACCACTGGCTAACTCTTTTAGTTTGGTGTTCAACCCAAAAACCCTCTCTTAAATTGGGCATGGGCCCCCCAACCTTTGTTGGATTGGTGCCTTTGGCATATTTAAATGGATCTATCTAACGGGTGGCCATTGAGCATGCGTTAAAATATATTTCAAATATCATATTTTTTTGAAATGTAAATTAATTAGAAAAAGTAAATAAATACAAGAGATAGAAGGTAAGATTAAATAGGAAAAGTATATAAATGCAAGGGAAGAAAATAATTGTTAGTATATGTATATACATAGTAGATTAGGTGAATTTTAGATGTGTAAACAAGTGTTTAAAGGACATCTATTAGAAAAGCTCTATTTAAATTCATTTAGGCATTGTTTGTTTTGAGGGAGTGGGAAGGAAAGGAAATGAAGGATAGGATTTTTGGTATTTCAATTGAGTTTGGAAAAGGGAAAGGAAAGGATTGGGAGGGAAAGGGAGAGATAAGGTTAATTATTTTTTGTCAACATCCTTTTCCGTCCAAAAGTGCGCAGAAACGGTGGGAATGACACCAAGATTAATGAAAATCTTAACCTTGATCCAGCATATTTATACCTATCGTATTGAGAGACTTTTTTGTAAAACTCTGATACAAAGACAAACTCAATAGCAAAAAGGAGGAGGATGGATTGCATTCGGTGAATATTTAGCAAAACAAAAGATCAGGCAAGAGGTAAAAACTGCTCGATCATACTCGATATGAAAGTATCAAAATTAGTTAAAGAGGAACAGACAAAAAATCCCTTGCTTTGGCAAAACGCAAGTGTATCTTTTATATGGGAAGCATAGTTACTTTGCTTGCCTCCCCGTCATTGTTCATGAGGCTACCTCTGAAACTTATTTTCTCAAGTTTCTTACAAGTAAGATTTCTAGATATAGAGTTGTCTTTCAGATCAACAGCCTTCCTAGAAAGGTCAAGAAGAACATATCAGACATACGAACATTTGATCAACCAGGTATCCACCATTTTGCTGACAGAAAAGGTATGATTTCCGTCATTCTTTCTAAGAAATACCATGTTATTTATCTATTTTATTATCTTGAACTTCATAAGTTTTACGGATTTATACAATGAAGAATTATTCCCCCTTGTTTTGTGAAAAAAAAAAGAAGCTAAGATGGGAATAGGAATTGTTTGGCTATGAAGATATGTTTTAATGGCTGCAAAGCAAAATATACAGCTTTACCATTCGAAGCAAAGGTCACAAGAAGATGATTCTGATGATTATGTGGTAGATTTAGGAAGATTTGATTCCTGTACTTGCTGAGATCTTAGGCGATGATTAAATTTTAAGTAACAAAATCTTAATGGCAATGTTAATTGTTATCTTCTTTGGTCAATTTGAGTTTTCAGTCTCCATTCTGTATTAAGATGTTGAAAGACCGGTTTCTACATAATCTGAATCTTCTGAGCAGGAAAGACTTCAAGTTAAATAAGCAATCTTTTTAACTAAAAGAACTAAACAAGAAGGATACATACTTACAATTGGCTTTTGTTTGCCAAAGGCAAATGAGACGGGGATATGACTATGTTGATGGTGATCAGTTTGCAACAGCAGTTGCAGCTTCTGCTTTTGCTATACATTCCCTTGAAGAATACCAGAAAAAGCTAAGGAAGGGATCTGAAATCGCTTTGGGAAGTGTTAGGACCAGGAAAGATGAGCGTTCTTTGCCAATAGAAACAGGTAACTCCAATTACTGAGGAGTATATTTTTAAAGTACTGTAATCAATCCTGAAGAATCAATATTAAGATTATAACAGGCATGCATTGAAGCTTCCTCTGGGAGGCCATTTGGCCAGGGTAATAGGACTACATCCTTTGCAAGGCCTGTACCTTTTGCGGAACAAAAGCAAAAGGGCAACTCAAAGAAATACAGAAATGCAGAAACCAAAGCAGATGCTTGGGAGAAAGCTCAGATGGCCAAAATTAAGAAAAGGTAGCTGTTTCGTTTGGGGTTGTCTTGAAAATATTTTGCTATGGTACAGATAATGTTTCTTTACATAAACAAAAGTGCTGGAATATCAGGTATGAAAGGATGCAGTCTGATATTCTTGCTTGGGAGCATGAAAAGAAAATGCAAGAGAAACTTCAACTGGAAAAGAAAAAGGTTTTGTTTTTTTTTTTTAATGACCTTTCAGTCTCCATCTATTCAAGTGCCCAGACCTACTTACCGATAACACTGTTGAAAATACAGAGTGAGCTGGAGCTCAGAAGGGAGAGAAACTTGCAATATTACAGAAGCAAGCTGGCCAGGATAGATCATAATGCTGGAGGAGCCAGAAAACAGATAGAAGAGAAAAGGAAGTATGAGGAATCTGTTGTGAAAGAGAAAGCAAGAAATATAAGATCCACAGGAAATGCTCCACTCAGATGCTTCTGCTTCTAATCACAAGGAACGAAATTTGGACAGTGCCTAACGCTAAATCCAAAAATGCACATAAATTTCCATTTTATGTGGAATTTGTACTGATGATTACATACTTCCTGGTCTTTGAACTTTTATGTATATTGGCTTTCAAATGTTTGCAGCATCTGCTTGAACTTTAACTGCAATGAAGTTCTTCTTAGAAAGATATAAGATGAGCCTAGAGACCCTATCAGTAGATATATTCCTTATGCCTTACATTACACTGCTACTCTCCATGAATTTGTAATCCTCGTGGAAGCATATGTGTGATGCATACAACTTAACAAAATAAAAGAACAGATATACTTGGATTTAAGATTGAGAACATAAGATCCTGAGTGTTTTTGTGGCAATACCAGGCAAAGGTCAGGAATCAGTGCCATTCCTATAGTAACCGCATTGGCAGCAGTGCCATTACCACAAGAATAAATCACACGGTGTTACCTTGAGCTCCTGACAGCTTTCAATAACTGCTTAATTTTAGGTTTGCCAATACTAAGGTTCACCTCAACTCGACTAATGTTCTACCCTCCTATATTATTAACCGACTTAGCAAAATCAAGTAAACTCATTGATGGACTTTGTCAATTCTGCAAGTTTTTGGCACTGGATGAAAGTCATTGTTGCAGACAAAGGAAGCCGCTTAATAGTGTAATTCCTTGGCAGCGCTGCCAATAAAACTGTTAAATCCACCAAACTGAATAGTGCCACCAGTGTGTGCTTTTTCCAATCGCCTATTTCTATTATTCTTTGACAGCCATCCCTTCAACCTGGTCCAAGACTCTAGGACTATCCAAACATTAGATGTTAAATAAGCCAAGTCTTGCAGCTGTTCCACACTTTGTCTAATAATACAATTGCATGATTACAGCAACATGTGAAGCACCAAGTGTCATTAAATGTGAACTGCCCTCTTGGCCGACCGGGGAACATATTTACTTCTTCTCAAGCCTACAGGACATGACTTAAAGTCTACCTCTGATGAAAAGGGATACAATACGAATGTTGTTATCAGGAAGGCAAAGTATCATTTCAATGTCAGTGTTACCTCAAGAAAAGAAATTAGAAGTCAATCACGTAATTTACCCAAAGCTGGCCAGATAGTCATCAAGATTAACTGTATATTGCCACAACTCGCATTTTCTCTTTCAATCATTGTACATACGGGATTTCATATTCCAATTCGTGCAAGAAACAACCACTGAAAACAATATGAACATCCTTAATTGTGACAAGCCTAGCGGAACATGTCGGTACAATGATATGTAACATTGTTTTTGTAAGACATCCTTTCTCTTTGGTGTGAAAAGAAGAAAGAAAAGCAGAAGAAAAAGGAAAATCTCCTTCTTGCATTTATTAAAAGGTGCCCACTTGACGTACAATTTGTAGACCATATCTAAGCACTTGTACTAGTAAATAACAAGGGTATCTATCACTTTAAATTATCTGTCATTAGCATTCTAGAGATGTCATAAGACTCAGGGAACAATCCGATCCCATCTGCCACAAAAATGTTACCTCGATGCTTGGATGCCTCTATGTACATCAGGCCTAATTGCACATCCATAGGGACACAGCAAAATCCTGGGCTGGGGATATATTTTGTTTCCTGATGTAGCATGTCATATTCCTATAGACAGCATAACTCAAATATAGATAAAAATCCCAGCACATTCAGCCAAGTACCAGTGGCATATAGAGCCTATTACAACATCTGAGGAGCGTTCTTAGCATTCCTCTGCCACAAACTATTACAGAAGGCTGATTTTCTTTCTTTAATCAATTCATGAGCCAAAAGAACATTTGAAAATTGTCCCTTCAAAACTGATAGGGATTTTATGGTGTGAAGATTGCTGTTAGATAGAGCGAAGAAGCGAACATTAATGGTCTGCTATGACCTTTCCCAAATTATAAATAAAAACAATGTCACTTCTAACTTTCATTCGCATATTGGACACATATTTCAAATAATTGGGACTGTCATGCGCTAACAAATTCAAGCACTGTATTTGAGAAGGCTCTTGAATCTTCCCTATTATATCAGTATATTCTGACCACTCGATAGGCTTAAATCATGACCCCACTCAAGCTTTATTACTCTATCCCTCCACCATAAAGCTGAAAACAAAAGAAACACACAGATAAAAAAGGCCATTTTCCAGAAAAAGGCTCCAAATAACCAATACTCAGCAGAATTTTCCTTTTTCAAATGAAAACGCCAGCTTTAATATTATTATGGTGACAAGAATATAACAAAATTCTATAATTGCTGCAGGGGTATTAGATAAAAATGATGCAATAGTCCAAATATATACAAAAGGATCTGATGTTTCTTTTCATCTTTTGTCTCCGTATTATCTAGTCCTGATGGCTGATGTTCTGAGAGAAAAATCTTTAAGAATCCAAGGGGATATGAATGAACATATTCTGATCCACTATCAAGTCTAATACATGTTAACTGGAAGAGAAAATATGGTAACCACGAGTGGATATAGTGGAGGACCATTTCCAGATCAATTGCAGGCATCCAAGTTTGCATGACGTGGAAAACTTATAGGTGTCCATGGCTGATGCAGTAAACTTCAGATTCTAGTGCCTGACTAGCAGAGGAAAAAAACAGAACTAGCCGGTTTCCCTGCTCAAAATTGGATAGAAGTGACTTTCAATGATTAGAAACCTTTTATATATTCGAGTCAATGTAGTCCACAGACGTGCATAACTAACAGAAAAAAAATTGGCTAGCCAGCATCCATAGAGTTTAATAGATCTATGCATTAAAGGCTTGTAAGCCTTCTACGAAATTTTGGAGTGTCAAACGAAGGCCATGGACTATCTAGTTTACTAGAATGCCAAGAATTTTCATTCTGAGCAAGTGAAATTGGTGCAGATGTCCTAGTAATTTTCGGATGCAGGCTGAAACTTTTTGACAGCGAATTGCATGGGGTGCCATGGAATACGCCAAAAGAAGTTAATTTTTTTTGGAGATTCTATGGTTCCGTTAAGGTATCATGCCCTTCAGTTTGATGTAATCATGCCATTAAAGACTGTAAAATTTTCTAAAAGTCTAATATAATCACACTATTGGTTTAATATAATCATACCATTGGACTGTTCAATTTTGTGGTACGAACACTCTATTGAATAAAATAAAGGAAAAATAGGAAACATAAAGGTCAAAAATGATTGGGGGAAATAGTGAGAAAGTACCAATGCATATCCATAACTCTTTGTAGACTTTCCTGCTACCACATATTTTGTGTATGGTCAGTATCCATGAGGGGACCAAACTAAAGAAGGCAAATAGAAAATACTTTTTAAGAGAGGCAGACTCAACTCAAGACTCTTTATGCTAGCTCCTGTTCATTTGGATTTTGAGAGTAGTCAGGAGATCAGACTGCTGTCAAGGCATCATGAGTCACCATTTTGTTGTGCCTAATTGGAATCTAAGGCACCAACGACAAGACCAACTAGATGGAGGAGACGGGAACAGATCCTCCCACGTGCAAAACCACCAGAATCCTAGCTATGTTGTCCCCATGTAAGTATGATCACTCTCACTCTCAGATTTTTCACTCTTTCATGACTGATTCTTTTCAAGAACTTTCTTCCTCTCCATCATCCTTCCTGCTAATCATTTGATGAGGAACTTTCAAGCTCAGAAAAATGAAGAAATAGCTCAGGCCACCATCACCAATCCCTCTATTTTCTCCTCAATTTGATACTAGTACAGTTTACATACCATGCTTCATCTTACTTTCTAGTCTAGCTTGCACAAAACATAACATGAACAGGTTTTGAGCAGATTTTCTTACCTATATCAACATCTCTATTCTATCCCCTTAATATCACTCAACTAATCAATTCATCTCACACACAATTCTTGAAATTCAGGTTGAATCACGAAGTTGCTGAGCTGACATGGGAAAATGGGCAGCTAGCCATGCATGGTTTGAGCAACATCCTTCCTTCTCCAGCTCCAACAAAGTCCACCTGTGGCAGAGCTGGTGATCATACACTGGAATCAATAGTCCATCAAGCTACATGCCATCACAAGCACAGCCAGATGATGAATTCGATGCAAAGCCAAAAGCATGATGATGGGGATCAAAAATTAAGCTCCAAGATTAATAGTACTCTAGAATTCTCAGGCACGAAATGGGGCAAAAGCTCGGGGCAGGTGCAAATGCTTCCAAGTACGATGAAAAAGAGGCTGAGGTCAGAGACAGAGTCCGATCAATGTGGAAGATTTTTCAGCGGCAAAATTCATGATTTGGGCCAAGAACGCAGTGCTTGTGCTAGTGCTAGCGCTACACTGTGTAGGGACAATAATAAAGACGCCACAATGGTGACATGGGCTTCCTTTGAATCTCCCAGCAGCTGCAAGACTAAAAATACCACTGATGAAGACTCTGCTTCTCATGGTGGATTGGTATCAATTATTCGCTTTTTTTTTTGTGGTTCCTTTTCTTTAGCCTTAGGCGAAATTTAACAAGATTGTGCACGTCTAGGCACTTCCTCTTACGTGGTCGAATTTCTATATTGTATCGTGTAATATAGGATAATTTTATCTCAAGAGTTTAAATGTAGGCATTTCCAATCTTAGGAGCATCTCTCGATTCTGATTGAACTATGCAGTATGTTTGTGATCCTAATATTCCCATTAGCAATAAACTTGTGCTTATGAATGTTTTGGTAAATGGTTAGTGAAAGTGAAGTACATAGTACCATGCTACAAAATGACATGAAAAAACTCATTGACGAAGTTACAATGGTTTCAAAAGTTTCTTGAAGTAGTTTTATAATAATGAGAAACCTTAAGGGTGGTTATTGCAATTACTAGATTTCAATGATTTCTTCCTACTATTCCTAGATATAGATATTATTCTTTGAGTTTATGCTGATTATGACACTGATGTATCATAATATGAATATCTTTTTCGTCTGTGTCGTTTTGCAGTGTATTTTTGGATATTTTTAATGTGTGTAACTTGTGGATAATTAATTTTTAGCAGGAAAATAGGGATGAAGAGCAAGAGGCCAAAGGAGGAATTGTCCAGTCATGTTCAGCAAGACGCAGTCGTTCGGCTGCAGTACATAATCAATCAGAACGGGTAATAAAATTATTATGGCCTTTTCCATCTGGGATCTGGCTAGAAAATATCTTCTTGTTT